ATCGCCCCGATGACAGAGGTAGTATGACCTCTGAAACGTTGGTTAACATGGACCAGACTACACAGTGCAACAACCCAGAAGACAGAAAGCTTCATACATAAATTAACTTTGCTTTATTAAAACTGAATTATTTTAGGTTTTATATGTTGGCAACACACATTTAGAGTTTTCAGTACGATTTTATTTTTCAAGGACCGTAATGCTGTCTTTTACAGTTTGGATGAGTTTGGCGACCCACAAGAAGAATTTATTAATAGTGTCAAGCCTGAATTGAACACAGATGGTCAAAAGGTGTCCGTTGACAGTTTTGATAGTTGTAGTACCAGCTCACACGCCATTTCTGCTGGACAGGGACCACACAAATGGAAGATGAGAAGTCGTCATGCTCGCCCAGGAGAAAATCCATCAAAAAGTGACACGCACAACAGATTTTTGTCTGTGAAAGCAAGTTCTGCAGTGGAATGTAGTGATCACAGAGAAAATAAGCCATATAATTGTGAATTTTGTATGAAATCTTTTTCTAGTAAGCATAGACTTGTACGACACTGTAGTATTCACACAGAGAGGAAAGTGTTCAAATGTAATATTTGCAGTCAACGTTTCTTTGAAAAAGAGACGCTTGCAATTCATGTTCTTGTCCATTCAGGAACATTATCTTACTCACATTGGAGGAAGGCGATTGAAATGTGATTCATGCGGTATCACGTTATTCCAATATTGGGTCCAGTGGCGAAGACGGTCACCCAGTGTAAAAGATATTTTGTTTGTCTTGGCTGTTATCGGCTGCGTGTCGCAGCATGCACTCGGTCCACCTGGCTGTGCATTGTGTTGGCATACCATTACACCACAGAATTAAGTCTTGACGGCGCATATGATACGCGTCTTTAAATCCCCTATTCCTGTACGATAATGGTTTAATTGAAGCTATCAAGTCATGAGGTTGTACTTTCACTACTGTGAAACTCCGGTAACTTTCATTATTACCTTACGCATTTGCCATTGGACCTCATCCTGAGCCAGTTGAATCCACTTTTCATGTTCACACACTGATTCTGTGCTTAATTTTTATGTTATCCCTCCATCTGTGCCTAAGTCTACCAGGTGGTCTCTAGTCTGTTGACCCAATTGCTCTTCTTATTTGTGACTCACATCGAACAATACCAAGTTCAGTCTGACATCAATATAATACAAACTAAATATATTAAACTTACTGCGGTGTCATACGTCAAAAAATTGACCTGAGAAGGTTTGAAGGTGGAAGATGTTTTATTCTGATGGTTAGAACTGCCTCAATTTGCCTCCGCATAGAGCGATATGAATCTGCTGTCGTTTCAAAAAAATTAATTTGCATGAGAATTGAGCAGTAGTACAGATATCGAACGTGTTCTGGATATGGGGTGTAGTAAACTTGGGATTTGCAAAATCCTGTTATTATGATGAATGACTTTTTTTTCCTTGTGTTTCCACTTTAAAAATTCTTGAACTTTAAAAATGTGTGCACGTGATTGTGCATATGTGTATGGAGGGAGTGACAGAGAAAAGTATGGAATTTTGTGTAGTTACGGATACTGTCAAAATTGTTGTAGTGAGTTCACTGACGCAGAGTAACAAATCCGGCTCTCTGGTCGTAGAACCCGATTTTCTGTTTGAAATTTATACACGTGTTGTAATAATCAATATTATTTATTTTTGAGGTTTTCAAATTCGGTTGTTGATTTACTCGGTTGTTGATTTACTCGGTAGATTTTCTAGAGGAAAGATTAAATCATGATTGCTTCACCTTGCTATGTGGGAACTTGAGATTCTCTGATTATGACTTATGGTACCTTGTTAAATAAATTGAAACATATTCAGAAAACCTCAAATTACATATTCAGAGGAGTTTATATATACACACACACTTATGATGAAAGTATGTGAGATTAATTTTTTAATGCTTATTACTTTGCTATATACATTTTGTTTATTGCACTACTAAGATCGTTGTAAGCTCTATAAACCTTATTTTAATTACCCCATTTTTCCAAAGTGCAATAATTTAACTTATCATATTTAGAAAGTTATTATTTTATTTTACTAACTCCACTTTATAATTATAAATATATTGATCACAATAAATATTTTAGGCGTTATATTTACGATTTGTTTCTTTCTGTTTATTTTTAGCAATTGTGGAGACTTGTAAAGCTTTTGTTATTGATGCTACCTGCTCCTGCCTATGCATATTATTGATTTCAGCTGGACGTAATGTTACAATATTAACCTTTTAAAGGTTTAAAAGGTGTGTGGGTGTTGCGTCAGAAATAGGTGTGGACATTTGCTGTCATGTGGGAGACAGGAAATTAATGCCTTGCCTGATGTTGATACTCGTGTGAAATTAGAAATTTATGATGATTGTTATGTGTGGTTTTTCTCAGTTTCTCCATGAAAATGCTGGGATAGCAACTAAAAATGGGTTACGATTGCTTCCTTCCACACACCTTGTAGTTCATGATTTTTCGGTCATCAAACCAGTTGATAAAACATAGTCAAATACGATCAATATCATCATCGTGTCTCGTCGATCGCGTTGAGGCCTTCGCATTTCTTTAAATAAAGTAACTTGGTTATATTTTTTATCTTCGCAGAAACTTGTGGACTGTCAGAAATAATAATTTAAGTCTTTAGACACTTTATTCACTTTTTATTATATTTTTATATTAAACTGCTTGGTACTTGCTACTTAAAATGGTGAACGAATAACATAATTGGGATAATACATCCTTCTTGCATCAAATCCCTCAGTTTCATGTTTAGAGACTCTAGCAAAACAGAGCATTGTCATCCATGTGATATGTGTTGAAGGCTGCATGTCATCAGGGATATCTTTAATCAGTGTATTGATAACAGAGGTCATGATAAAATGGAATACAAAGAGAGGCATACAGAGGCACCACTTTGACCTTTGGTCAGTGGACTATCAGGCGTGAGAAGTGTTGATCATTCTGTGCTTCAGTACAAATGTTGAAAAGGGGAGAAAATGACACATGTAGCTTCACATGGTAGCCAGATCTTAAAAATACAAATTCTCATTGGGAGAGATGTTTATCTAAATTATTCTCGGGCCTCCAGCTGATAGCCCAAGACAAATGTATTATATGTGGTTGCCCTGAAACCTTCAGATCATACTGATATTTCAGACATGAAGCAGTAAATACGTGAATAACCCTAATGCAACATTCACAAAACTACTTGCCTTCAGAATACTTGTATAACACCAATCCAAAACTGAAAAGTCCCAGTTGTTGAAAGGACAGCGTGGGATGAGCTTGAATTATTATTAAAAGACATATAAAATCGAAATGTTATTACTGTGACATTATGGGATGTTATCACGGCATTACTCCCTCAGATTGTGACCTTAAAATTTGGAGTTTATTTTTAAAAAAAACAGTCGCGGACATCCGAAAAGTAGTGTTTATTTTTGGAGGTCGGGCGTAACAGCCCCTCTGAGAGGTTGGATGCACCGTGTAACACTACTGACGTATATAAGGGACAAGATAGGTTTCCATAACTAGCTATTGTGAACACGATATAAAGAACTTTCGGGTAGAAGCACCATAAATTTCGTACTAGACTTGAGTTTTCCGTTATAACTATTTACTGTTATTCCAATGATTTCATTACATTATGTTATTAGAATAGCCATATTTGCTATCGATTAAGTACAGAACAGTCGATAAAGCCCATTACAAATGTCAAGGAAACTAACAAGGGATTACGTACTTCCGGTGTAGAAGGTAGTGCCAAAGAAACACGGTGGCAGATGGTGAAACTTGACTTGTCTTTCCGTTTCCTGTAACTTGCGGATTTGAAGTGATTTGGTGTACAAGTGTTTTCTAATTGAATGCTTTTGGTGAAATGTGTATGGTGCTAATTAAATATGGGGTTATGGTATGTGTTATTCCTAGTGAACTTACAACCTCATAACAAACTACAGTGAAACGCCTAATCTATATTACAAACTCGGACTGGTATATGTATTGACAAGAAGCTACATGCACCCCTGCCGACTTGTCTGTCATTGCTGTATATGATCAAGGTAAGCTTAGAATGGATGATTTTTATGTAACAGTAAAATCAAGGCATCGCTTCCATTATTTTCATTCAGTTGTGTTATAGCCATATATTGTAGCATCCTGTTGTTTTAGTACAGTTGTACCAATTAATGGTCCAACCATCTTGGAATGTGACATTAGTGAAGTGTCCATGTTATAGACACTGACGGACGTCGTGACACCGATGGTGAATATTGTTAGGTGATATGGAACTTACATTCTAGATATACAATGAACAATTTCCGCAAGTGAAATTGCAAAGTTAGTAGGTGTCTCTCGATAGCATTTTAATTCGACTGATCGATGATGTATATGTTAATTGCCATGCAGTAAAATAATATTTAACGTACACAATTTTAAAGTCGCTTTGTATTGAGACACTTTGCGGTGCTAATGATAACCACTTAATTTGTATCATGGTATTTTATAACATTTGGTTTATATGACTACATTCAGCTTCCTCATGAAGTATGAATCCGACCTGTTTACATTTTGTAAAGTGATTATTATTTTACGTACAGTCGTGAGTTGCTGAATAAGCGCTTTCCATTCGAGATTTTTAGATCGATGTTGTATTTAACGCCGTGATAAGATTCTCATGGTACAATTTATTTTTATATTGCATAAAACTTGAATGTCAGTAGAATGTGTAAATTTATTAGAAATATTTTTGATGTGGTGGATATTTAACTAAATATGAGGGAAAATAATTCGTAACTCTACGGCATGGTATCTCAAGTGCGATTGTCGTGTCGTGTAAATAATATTTAATAGTTCAGTCCGTACCTCAAAGAGAACACTACTCTGCAGCATTACAAAGACCAACTTGTCAATGATTTTTAAGGCAGTAATCGTTTACATTTCGAATCATAGGAAATCCATAAATAGGAATTTTAGAGTTGTTTATTGTTAAAATAGGTGGTTTGTATGTACCACTGGATTCTGAAGGGTTAATAAATCAAACGTTGTCCGTGTGTTTGTGGATCTGCCAGCCCTTACGTGTCAATGTTTGTATATGCCTAATAAATTACTCTGCAGCATTACAAAGACCAACTTGTCAATGATTTTTAAGGCAGTAATCGTTTACATTTCGAATCATAGGAAATCCATAAATAGGAATTTTAGAGTTGTTTATTGTTAAAATAGGTGGTTTGTATGTACCACTGGATTCTGAAGGGTTAATAAATCAAACGTTGTCCGTGTGTTTGTGGATCTGCCAGCCCTTACGTGTCAATGTTTGTATATGCCTAATAAATTTGTTTCAAGAGAGAGATTAAAGTTGAGTCATGTGTCCTTTCTGCAGTCAGTGTGCCCTGGGAGTGACCTTGAGCCACAAACCTCCAATCGTGTTCATGACAAACTTCTTCGGGTCCATGATCAATGGCACTTGAGATTTCTCGCAGATATCAAACTGGAAGCGAGATACGAGAATGGCAAGTCCCATCTTCACCTGCATTAAGCCGAATCTCAGCCCTGAAAAGGAAATAAAGGATTTGCATTTAATGGGAAGCGGAAGGCAATTTTGAGGTACTGCAAGTGCATGTTCCACGCAGGGATCTTCTTGAGAATCTCAGTGTTGCTGAGCTGATCAGGGAATTTTCTGCTTTCTGTGGACCTCGATTGTTCATTATCAAGTTCAAAAAAGCCAGCCGCCTGACCCCATCCGGAAATAGATTAATTCATTTAACAGCCTCACATATTTAAGATGCACTGTAATATTTTAATCCCTTCTGCTCCTAGTTCTTCCAAGTGATCTTTGCCCTTCAGAATTTTTGAATAAAATTTTTCGTGCAATTCTCAGCTTCTCTGTTCCACTGTTTATATAAAACCAATTAAAATCTCAAATATATTTTCCGTCAGATCTATTTTCAAAAGAGAATGTGTTATATCCGGGTCTGCTTTAATATCGTAGATAAGTAACCAACAAATTATTCACAGGAATTTGCTTGTGATTCAGTGTAGAATTTAAACCAGATTTGAGAATGAGAATTTCAGAAAAATGGGCCGAAGCCCACGTACCTATGCAGATGCGGGGCCCTTCTCCGAAGGGCAGGTACGTGTAGGCGGGCCTCTTCTCCTTGTTGTAATCTGTGAAACGCTCGGGGTCAAATCTGTCCGGGTCATAATAGTACAATGGATCGCGGTGGATCGCGTAGATCGGGATTATGACCGGAGTACCTTTGTCGATCAGCACGTTGGTTCCGGGAATGGTGTACGGCTTCGTACACACCCTTATCAGGTTCGGCAGGGACGGGTACATCCTCAGCGTCTCTGGCAACAGGAGAACGAGGTGTTTACCTGCCATTGCTTAGCGCCATAAAGAATCCTACCTAAACGTCGGGAATCAGAACTTACCGGCAACGACGTGGTCCAGGTATTCCATCTGTTCCAGCGCGTTGTACGTAAAATTACCATTGTGTTCCTTGAGCACGTGGTCTATTTCGTCACGTAGCCGCCTTTGCACGTCCTGGTTCAGTGACAGCTCATACAGGCAAAAGCTCATGCTGGTCGCGGCCGTCTCGAAGCCCCCCAGGAAGAACACACACACCTGGGCTGCGATCATGTGCTCGTCGAACACTAAACAGGCGGTTTTCTATCACATTTTATATTGACAGTTTCAGTTCCTTATGCTACTAGACTGTCCAATCAGTGCATTTTAAGATCGTCTTTGAATACAGACAGAATGAGTCAAAAGGGGTACTTACCAACGCTGTCCAGCCATTTCTTCCTGGGTGTTGCCTGGCCATTTTCTGTCGGCGTTTGACCATTCTGCATGACCACAGCCCCGTTCTTTGTAAACTTCTTGTTGGTTACCTCATCGTGCTCTTCAAAAGAGAAGTTGTATGCGTTGTTCATTTTTTCAAGGTCATCCTCGGCGTTTTTGTCTTCCTCGTCGTCATTTTCGGTGATGTCTACCTTCTTCTTCAGCTGTATCAGCAGGTTGAGGAAATCTTTCCTCTCGATCTTGTTGTTTTCGCGGTAGTCAAGTGTTTCCTTCACCACGTCCACGAAGAAGTCGGTGATCTCATCTGAGAAGCTCTTGATGTTGAAGTACTTGAGCAAAGACGGAGCTGTGTAGCGGAACAGGCGATGCATGTTAGTCCAAGACCCCGGTGCAATTATTTTTTCACCCATTTCTCTGAACTTTGAGTGTGGGTTTTTCAGAGAATTACTCTTCACCCCAAAAGCGCAAGAACTTATGTTGTCGGTGGCGTACCTGGCTAACACGTCTCTCAAATCCACATCATCTCCCTTCTGGGCGAAACTGTCCAGGTATCGGCTAAGTTCTTCAGCGCATTCCTTCACCAGGTGAAACAGAATCCTCATCTTGCTTGAGTTGAACGCTGGATTCAATGTCAGACGCAGATTCTTCCACGGTTGTCCTTCAAGTATCACAAGATTGGCACTGATTGGATCGTTTTCAACGTCATGTGGCATTCCACGATCATGGAAATGCGAGAAATCTTTAATGAGAACATGTTTTATGAGATCAGGATCTCTGAACATGATCATGGGAATCCGTGTTTGGAATATCCCCCCAAACATTTGACCCTCCAACTTACGGTAGAGTTCTCTGAAACCTTCAGCTTGGGTCTTACGATGTAGTCCTATTTCAATAAGATTTCCAAAAAATGGCACTGGTTTCAAGTATGGCACGCCTTTATTTTTCCAGTAGTTGAAATTGGCCGTGAAATAATAGTATAACCATGCTAATATTGCTCCAAAAACTACAAGAATTTCCATAAAGAATGAGTCAAACAACAGACCCATATTTGACTTCGCTTGAAGATGAATGTTGTCAGACCTTGTGGTACGGGAGCACTCCGAATAGTTCTGCAGCATCGGAAAACGTCTCTGGTTTCAGGCGGTGATCGTGACCTTTGTAATGCGGCACACTGCTCTAGAGAATTCTCAGATTTAATTGGCTGGGCTGGAAGTAAAATCCGTTCTGGAGTTTTGCCATGTATCGTTATGAATCGGAGTTTTTGTACGACTGTGGATGGTACACGAAGGGGAGGAATGTTCATTTCTTTATGTTATAAATGGTCGCATTGTGTTCTTGTTTACATAAAACTTCGTAATTGAGTTATATAAATAAATAACGATGAGATGTGTGTTCAGTTTATTGGAATTTAAGAGTATAAGAGATAGAAGTCATAATTATGTTCTTTATCGTAATTTTCTTAGAACTATGCAGTGACCCATGTCACAGTGTTGTCACAGATAATTTTCAGCTTTCGTGTTCACTGAAGTACGAAAAACCAAAATTTTTCTCACCACATACCTGTTTAGAATACATATTATGGGTCCCATAATGCCTGTTTGCCCTTCTAATAACTTTTAACCCCGTTGGCAAATTTTACGAACTTCGAACAAGACGGCATACAGCCAACCGCATGGGATTTTCACTTTGAAGGTACGTAGCTCGAATCCCGACACATTACCGTTTATAGGACAGATAATTCAAATGCTCGTTTTACAGAAAGCATTAAGAAAAACTAATACACACCGAAATTGTGACGAAGACAAAAGTTGTTTGGTCTCTCGGATATATATCTACTATTTTTATTTGCTATAGGGCAAGGTTGGAGGGGGGTCAAGTGGGGGTAATTTTCGTCTCAGTTTATTGCTGTTATCTGTTGATAGTTGTTTTAATTTATACTTTGGGCAAGAATCCGAACTCTGGTATTATACTTTAATCCATACTTAAAGGGATGTAGTTTTTTATTTATTTTAATACCCAATGATCCCATTGGCTGGAAACTTTATATTAACCATTTTCTTGTTGAATATTTTGTTTTCTACGGTTTATATTTCCACAATCTCTCGTTCCCATTGGTTAAAATCCAATAACGCTTAGTATTAAGTCTAAAGGGACGACAGGAATATTTTACCATGCCATGATTCTTATTAAAGAATTGGTTTTGTTGCTTAGAATTATTTTCATCATTGCATTTGTACATACGTTATCATATTAAATATAAAAATAACATTTGTGGTTCCTAATCTCTGTCTGTGCGTAAGATAATAATCAGGGCCTAAGGACTTGTGTGACCTCTGAACGTTGACCCATTCTTCCTTGTTGAAACTTTTTAAAACTTTCGTAAATAAAGAGAAATGATGGTTGTATTGTTATGGTTCGTGCCTCTGTCGTATTAACGATTTAAATTCCTTCCGTTAGGTTAGCAGCGCAGTTCAAAGAGCACATTGTTTGACACGAAAAATGAACTTTTAAAATTTTAGAAACTCACTTAATTGTACTGACAACACTTCTAAATAACAAATAAAGTGCACGTACACTTAGATATTTCAAAAATGACGTAGTCCTAAGCAAGGATTGAGATAAGAATTTTACCTGACATCCTGGCCGGTTATTATGAATTCTTTTGCCGTAGTTCTAGTCCGTATTGTATGCAAGCATGACATAATGTGAAACAATTTGCAGAGTCTACTCAAACTGCTACATTATTATTTTGTTTAAATTTTATTATTGTTGATTTGTTATCTTAGGCCAGTAGATTTCGTCAGTGTGCCTATGGTGTGGGGTAAGTTAGTAAAAAATATCGTGTTATATTAAATTATTTTACTGACAAAGCAAGGGTAGTAAGAAGATGGCTGCCTCCTGAAGCGCCGTGTGGTCTGATAGTTCACCCTGAAGATGGAGGCAGCAATGACCTCTGAAACGTTGGTAAACTTCTACCAGACCTCAGACAGAAGACAGGCATCTTCTTACTCACCGCCGTGAGAACCTCAAAGCCTTCTAAGAACAGTGAATTACTAAGTTCAGTGATAGAACTTAGGCGTAATAAAATAAAAAAGATTATTTAAAATGTCAATGATAATGCTGCGTGAATACGTGTTGGAAAATTACGTTGGATATTATTAATGCGCACTAAAGACGACGAGACGCTGGCGTCTTTGTTCCGGAGCTTTTAGAACCTGGCGTCGCCTCCACAGGTACCACACTAGTCTAATGGTGAAGAAATAGAAAGTCTCGACGATGCTCAGGATGCTGCATCCCATGAAGAAGCTCGCTGTACTCCCGAAGGACACTGTCAACACAGCGCGACATTGTGTAGTATCACGTGATAAAATCCACTGTGTCGGGGCTTTTGTGAACACGGCAATGAATCTTCCGTTCCCCTTAAGCGTGGGAGATTTCCTGATTGTCAGTTTCTGAAGAAGGTTTTGTCGTACTTACCCAGCAGATCATCGAAAGTAAACAGAACGTCCCTTCTGTATCTGATCCTGCCGAACTCACTGAGAGTAACGTCAAGTATCATCCCCTTCTGGCCGCCACTTTTCGTCCTTTCAAATAAATTATTCACATCAATACAACAAAATATGAAATAGGTAGCATCTTCAAAAATTTTGTTAATATTTAACAGAAATTAGGGTACATTTCTGTGAACGTTTTCTAACAGACAGCGACATCCCCGAGTGTGCCCTCCAGCGGAAGGGTCGTACCCCCTTCCGTCAAGTTCGCTTCGCGGTTGCGTTAGGGGTGTGCTGCAGGGGTTTGGGCAACTGTCCCAACACTTTGTTACCGGCACAGACGATACCAGATAATACAGGCGATACTTCAGTATCAAAACATCGATAAAGTCATACATATATCGATACATGCTTCGAGTCTTTGCTTCCAAACGCGAAATATGAACGTAGTCCGCTATTTTGCTTGCAAAATTGTACTTAAACATGATGCAGCTTTTCTTATACAACGTTTGTGACTCATCGCTGCGTTTAAAATCATAGATCGCTAACGCGAGCCCCTTGTTTTTTTTAAAAACTTGCAAACTGGCAGCACACACCCGGTTGCGTTGTCTAAGAAACACACTTCAGAATTCGGTACGAACCAATTGTCAAACTTGTCTTCCAACATTTGAAACCCGAGGCTCTCACACACGGGGAGGCAGTCACATGGCATGCGTCTCTTGTTCGCGTCAATCAACTTCAGCAGTCTTCCGGTATTTTCGCCCAGACAGATGAGTCCTTTGATGTTGCATATCTTCTGCCGTCCTTTCGAATACAGAATGTAGGATCGTGTTAATCGCAACAGAATCTATTTTTAAATGTTAATTAATGTTAAAATGTGGTGAAATCTTATCGTAATTTTGCGCTGTGTATCTGAATAATCTGTGTCACAAAACTGTCAACTATTGTCGCTCTGTGGGCGCCTTTGCTCATCCTGGAAGTTACTTAAGTAACGAAGTGTAAGGTAGCTTATTATACATATATGATCTATTTTAACAGGAATAGGATATCAAAATATATGCCATAGGTGACAACTCCAATCTCATACTAAGAAACTTCTCGCGATCTTCAACGCATGCGCGTTACTAACCTAACCTAATCTAACCAAACCTAACCTAACCTAACCTAATCTTTCGTCTTCAAATCCGATATCGGTTTGGGCGCGTTTTGGAAATTGCGCTGATACACTTCGGCTCTGCGTGAGGTGCACGGTTATACACGTTCTTGTGAATGCCCAGTGATTACCTGGTCTGTTTAGTTGTCGGTAAAATGGAGGGGAGCAACCGCATAGCTTGATTGCCAGTTTCCTTCTGCACTTCATTGTGCATAGTTTGTATGTGTAGTGTGGGATCCCGACGCTCTCTGGTTCATCAAAGTACCGACAGCGTCTCCGCTGTATCGGCAGGTCTCTGACCTCAGAGGAGGACACGGTTTGTATGTTTTTCACCATCAGATGATAGATGTAGCCAACTCGAGTTTCGTATTGCTTATTAGTAGCATCTGGCACCTCGTAAGCGGATGTAATTACTACCTGTAGATGTAAATAAATTGTTGCTTACGTATTAAAATATGAACAAATGTTGATGGTTTGGTTGGTGATCTTTTCTAAATCACTATTTACACTGTGTTGCAACTTTTGCAATGCTGATGATATTTTGTTAAAATTTAAAAAAAAAATTTGAAAGCGTTGGTTTATATACGTTGAATTTTTGTATTCTCCTCGGCAACACATTATCGTCTAATATGGCCTGTATACAGTCCACAGCAGCGCAGCAGAACTAATATAGCAGTGGTACCAAAACTTGAAGCAACGGGACCGGTAATGGCGCTGTGATCGACAAGAAATGTACTCTATCGATACTATATCGATAAATTATGAAGTGAATGTTAGGTTACATCGAATTCTGTGGATATTGCTACTTAGATTTTATCATCGATAGATTTCGTTGTTTTAGTTTAGCATCTGCACGTATTTTTTTTATTAAAAATCGATATTTTGTGAGCTGTGGGAAGATGACACACTAATCCACACGTGGTATCAACCCTTCTCCCAGTTTTGCAAAAATGGAAGGCATCTCTGGGTTTTATTACAAAGTAATCGCCATTGTTGGGATGTTCGTATTAATTAGCGATTGTCAGGAACTGAAACGTATGGTAGGGTCCAGATGATTAAAAATGTATTCGACAGAAAGGATACCAATGTATTCGTACAGCGTTCCGGAACCAAGAAATTACGCTGGCAAACAAACAAGAAAATAACACTTACTCTCGCTTGTCTCTCCAAACTAAACTTTGCCGAACACACGTTCAAAATGAAACTACACATTTTAGGTTTTTCCACGTCAGTCACGTTTGTTCTGTAACAAAAAAAAATATATATATATTTGGTGCAAAATTTGCGGTTTCAACAATGAGATACACGTTGTCATAATGAAATATAAAACGTGGTGACATTTTAATGTCATTTGATCTTCATCTTTGTTAAACTTACCTGAAAGAAATTCTCTTTTCCGCCTCTGACCCGTAATTTATACAGAAACCTAGTTCATTTGCCGTCATTGTTCTGTGGAGCGTATGTTTGCTGTTATCAGTACTGTATTGTATTGTATCGTTAAAATAAACCTGAAAAAAATAATGTAACTTTTTTTAGAAACAGCAACAATGCTTCTCAGGTTTATTCAAAGCGTGTGTTGGCAACGAGAAATTTCTCGTCGTTCTAGCGACAATCGGATAAATTTCCAGGCCAGATTTACTGATAGTTAGACTTACGAGTGTTTTCATACGAATGTTAAGAATTTTAAGATTGGTGTTGTTCATATTGCAAGCTTTGGTGTTGTCGGTGTTGGACCTGCGGGGTCTGGCACCAAGGAGTTAGTTATTGTTCATATTAATTAAAATATCTGTTTTGTCCTAAGTGTGTTGTTAATTCTACAACAATGTAATATATTTATTAAAATAAAATGTAATAGTACTATAATAAAATTGTTAAAGGAAAGTAGGATCATTCCAGAAAGACAGATTCTTGTATGAGATTTGATACAATCAACAGAAAGAGGTATTTATGAAGCATCGTATTGTGAAATGTTTTCATTGTTCTCTTAAGTTTTCCTCTCTTGGGCTCCAAATTTTCTCCTCAGCACTCTGTACTCAAACAACCACAATTTCTGTTATTCGCACAGAATAAGAATCCCAATTACAGAACCATTCAAAACTATGGTTAAAGTAATTGTTTTGGCATTATCAACACCTCGTTTATGACATTCTGCGTAGCGTGGAGGTAAGGCCGACTGACGTTTCAGCAGGTGATGCTTGTCACATCCTACTGTCTAAAATCCAAATGATAAAGGCTTTTGTTGGAGAGAATGTGAGTTTAATTTCTGTAGTGTCATGGAATGAATTTGATTTACCTGTTCGATTAGATCTTCCATGTCGATGTTTATCAGATTAACGTCTTCTGCGAATTCCTTGAAATTCTCGAGAGAACTGTATGACATATTTACGACTGTTTCGACAAACTTCATGTAATATTCATATTCTGTTTTGCTGTCATTTGACACTCCCCACGTTCTGAAATGAAAATGTATCAGTTTTAAGTTCTTAAAGGAAGGCCACTCTTTACGTAGAAATGATTATTTTTTGTAAATTGGTTATGGTGAACTGTAACGCAGAATAAAATGATTTAAAAGCAAAAATGTTAACTTCTGTTTCATTCATATCGTAATATGTATGAATATACTTTGTAGTATTGATTACAACACAAATTTTAGTAATAAAAAATAAAGAATGTGATAATACCAGAAAATTAGTCGTCAATAATGATGATAAAATCTTACATTGAACAATTTGTAATAGAACGTTAAGGCTTTCTAAATCTGTAACGTTCTCTCAACAATATTGAACAATTTGTAATAAAACGTTAAGGCCTTCTAAATCTGTAACGTTCTCTCAACAATCCATTTCCAGCAAACAGCCGAATCAGTAACGAAGGAAACAAAATAATGTGTAAAATCGCGTCTTCATGAAAGTTGTGGAAAGTTTTTGCATTAGATTGCTGGTTTTGTTTCGTTAATAAGATAAGCAGGCAAGAATCGGTTAATAAATGTCAAGGTCACAGGCCCAAAATCTGTCCTACTTCACGTCATCTGGTATTCGACATATAAACTATCCGCTACATTGTTAACAGCAAGTAGCCTTGTTCTGTTTTTACAACTTCTACTTTTCCAGGAAATGTTTCTAATACGAGGTGCGATCGAAAGGTTTCAAGACTGCGCGTATAAAAACCCGTACACTTATCTCAGGTATTAAATTCATCCATCACATGTATTTCTAACGTCGTGGACAGATAATAAATTAAACTCTAGGGTTTTCCCCCCTTTCTCTTTCAGTACGTTCTTATCTCTTGACATTATCACAGCCGTGGAATTTAAAACTATAATAAGACAACATTACTAACGTCATTATGTATTCTTGTGCTTTGCTCTCTTTAACTTTGTTAAGGTAACAAATAGTTACGGCCGGAAATTCAAATTCCCATTCTCTGAAATCCTTCTCCAGCGACACTACGGACGGGTTGGCGCTGTAACGCTGCCAGTTGCTTGTGATGACACTTACAGTGATTGTCACTGCGAACAGCATTAGTGCCAACCACAGAATGCTGAAACAATGGAGTTATTATCAATCATGCACACACGTTTATAATACGAAGACTTGAATAAAGTAGAGCACTTGGAAGACCTGATTATAGATGGCAGGTTTAAAGTAAATGTACCTTCAGTAAGTGGCATGGAATTCTATGAATTTGATTTGTATCTGTCAGGGCAGGGTTCAATGACCCCAGCGGATTTCTAGCACTATTGAAGATTTCTTAATTTTCTTCAGTGATTCCAGGTGAATGTTTGGATGAAACTAGGATAGATCTTCCTATACGTTACCAATTTATCTCGTATAAAATCTTCCATATATCATTTGACAGTTATACAAAATTAAAGGTTTAAGAAAATGGTAAAATTCTGTCCATGAGCATACTTAACGTAACGTACTACTTACGTTTCCAGTGGGTGTCGCTTAGAATGCACTAAGTGTCTCAGACCTGGTATTGACGACCGATAAAAATAATCTTTTACGTATTCATGAAAGTTGAGTGGTTTCTTCCGACTCCTTACTACTCCTCTGTAGTACATTCTGACTTCAAACTCTACGATTTTTAGCGATTATAACCAAATTATGTTCCTGTCCCTTCGGCGTTTGTGTTGAAATTTATTACAATTCTTTTGCACAGTAAGGAATATGAAGGTAACTTATGAATGAGTGTTCTTTTCCGAGTTTTAAAACAAATGCGCACTCTGTTGGGTGTTTCAGGTAACAATAATTACAGTTCCCTGCTGCTTCACCAGGAACACTGCAGTTCAATAAAATCACTGCAGTAAACTAATGAGAAATCCTTGTTTCGATTGTAGATGTCTAACACGCGCACCGTAAATGCGTCCCTGCCATTTCACTTAAACTCGACACGATATTTATTTATGTGTTTTTCCGCGTTTGAATGTGCTAACAGCTCTTGTACAACGCCCAGACAATTTATTGATTTCAAGTAAACCTTTCAGTTTTTATAAATGTTAAGGACGTAAGAAGGTACTTTGCTTGATATATTAACGCCTGTGATCTGCAAAGCGTAAAGGTGATATTATCTGTTTGCTAAATATAACTTTAGACCTTGGCGACGTAAGAGTGGATGTGGAGCGCCACGTTGCTTAGGGCAGTGGTATTCAACCTTTCATGTTCGCGTACCCCAAGATATAATTTCTCTTCAACTTTGTACCCCCAAAGTTGTTGGTGTATAATTCAAGCTGTACATAGTATATGATCTACATCTAAAATAAATTAAATAAATTACATTACTGATTATTCAGTGTATATCATAAAATAATATATTTTTTTTTAAATTTCACGTAACCCCTAAGATGTCTTCGCGTACCCCCGGGGGTACGCGTACCTCAGGTTGAAACTACTGGCTTAAGGAATATTGTTTATGGTTGCGTGTATTTACTACTGTAGACTTTCCCGTCGTTTCTGACGGGAAATTTACTAGTAATTATACATATTTTTTATCGATGTTTGTGAGTTTTATAATTGAAGGTTAACATAATAACGATCTAAACATTGTATTTGTGTTTATTAGCATAACTGAATTCCTGGAAATTGTGATCAGATCAGAAGAAGACGAAGGCGACCAATACATTGAAGGAAAGCAGACAATATTTGCATATCTTTCCCTTCGTTTGCAGTGTACTACTAGATCGATCGAGACAACGAGACTGACTACAGTTATCATAGTAGGTAATAGATGGCATAAGGATCGGATAACGAAAAGAATAGTTTGCTATCTTGAGGACAGATGGTATGAAGGGCATATCAACAATGAGCATCGTTAATAAGAGTGTAGAAAGTCAAAATGATCAACACTGCTAATACGAAAGCCCACCATTTGACTGGAATGTGGACCATTTCCAGCCACTTCCACTTCTCAAAATCTGTCTCCGTAATATTTGTCTTGATGTTTGATTCCACCTTGCAAATAGAAGTTTTTCGAAATTCTTGTCTGCATTTCTCGTTTCCCTATCCTGGTAGATGCCAGCACTTCATCGCGTCCTACATTTAATTTGTGTTTCCTGCATTAGGATTGGAAAATCTGAGTGGTAAAGGTTTTCCTTGAATATCGTTAAATTGCACCATACCTAAAAAATTTCAAGTAACACTTATGACTTTGTCTAAAATATTTTTTGTGCATTAAAAGCTACGAAAGTTTTGGGAAGTTTATTACAGACATTAAAAATCTGTGCCCCGTTTTAAAAAAAACACGTGTAGAAATAAACTAGTAATTTGTGTTATTGTTCGGAATTATTACTAGCCTCTGTGTAGGCCTACGGAAGAATTAAATGGAAAATAAACCTAAAAAGTTGTGGCATTGAAAATAAATATTCCTTAGTGTAATTCAGCCTTAAACTTGGTGCAAGAAACTACGTATAAAACTGTATAGCGGGGAAAATTATAAAACGTCAAGGAAATTTAAATATTACTGAGCAAGATTATCTTTTGTTTTTAACATGAATATCGCCCAACAACGAGTTTCATAGTTTTGAACGTGGGATTCTGCGAGTAAGAAATAAGAGGGGAAACAGCTTTACCACGACTTTGTTGGATGTAAATATACATATCATGGTAGAATAGTAACTCGTCTTTCAGTGTGTCTGTCTGTCTGTCTGTCTGTCGGTGACTTCTCCAACCAGACATAGAAAGCACTCCTGCTAAACAATCATAGTTTTTAAAATGACCAGAATTTACGATTCTGTGTGTGTGTGTGTCTTGTTTTGTGTTAAAACCCACTGCTGCTATTGTTAACCGAGATCTCATGGTTCCATTGTCTTATTGTCAAAGCGACAATTGGTTTTCGTCTTTTGTGTTCATCCATCACATTAGTTTTAACGCCCTGAGTCAGAGGAGTTGAATTTTGTATTCGTTAAGACACACGGACAAAGTTGACGATAAGTAGAAAAAAAACATTTTGATAATACGTTTCATAAAATTGTGGTCCCCACTTTGTCACTACTTCGCTTACACGATAAATATTTTAAATAACTTCTCAGTTATCCGATCATTTGTCTTGTGAGTTGAATCGTTATTTTCTCTTGTAGGAGCTTTCACTTTTAATAGGATTTGATTATAAAAGAAAAGAAAAGAAAAGAGAATTTTAATGTCACTTTTTAAAACGTTCTTTTATGTTTTTAAATATTTCTGTAGATATGCAATATGTACCCGTAAAAAGAGGTTATGGATTATACCACGCATAATTCACATGGCGCAAGTAACTAACTTCGGAAAGACATCATACTCCGTAATGTCCATCTGAAATCTGACGTGAGATCAAGAATTATAATGACCCAGAGTATAAAAATTATGAAGTTCAGCAATTCCCATACTTTTACATGGAAGTGAACCTTGGACTAACAATAAAAAGACATTTAGTAAATTGAACTATCGCAAATAAACGTTTTAGAATAGTTCAATGACGAAACAAGTTGCATAAGTTTAGGACTTGGTGTTTATACGCAAAAAATTTGAATTTAAAAGCTCGTTTAAATATTATTTAAATATTCATTTCCCACAGCGAAAACAAAACTATCCGTATCCATGGCAACGATGAAATGGATGCTCTTAGGGAAATAGAGGCTGTTGATTCTGTGATAAAAGCGCAGATTTATGGAATCTTAAAGCATTTGGTTAAATGCAAGAGTGGGTTAAAGAGAATGTAATGTTTTAGGGTCCTTCGGCCCTGATTTTGTGTTAGGGTTGAGTGGGTATGTGGTATTCCGGAATCAGAGTTAATTTCCAAGTGATAATAACGTACTCTGTTATTTTAATCGCAGTTGCTTTGTTTTTATATTTAAATTTGAAACATCGGTGTTCGTTTGTGGAAACAGAATAGCCTGTTGAATTGGGTATCACACAAGCATAAAAAAATAATTAACAAATTAGATGGTTGGTTGCTTAGTTATGAATAATATTGTGTTGAAACAGCTTCGTATTCGTTAAGTCCTGGGTTCTAAACGACAGACCCTTAACTTGACCGAAGTTTTTCTGTTGTCGTTGTAGGTAAATACCGAGAGCCTACGTCAATGTAGGTCGCCATTATTTCCTTCTACATACTTTCCAATCTATCATTCGCAAATGACCCAGCCGCTAGATTCTGCGACGCCAGTGCTACTAGAACACGTCGTTGATGAACGAGGAATCGATCGGTGTGACACAGATAGACAACGCATTTTGACCTGGGCGGTTCACAGAAGCGAGCTGGTGGTACTTTCTCCTGCCCCCATGCTGCGTCTCTGTGCAATACCAGGACTTGCAGCATCCTCATCGCTGCCGGCAGATCATCCTTTTGTTTGTTGACTCTCTCGTCGTATTTATATCACAAGAAATGTCGCGTCATTTCTATTCAATCATGCGCACAGCATGGGCCGTAGTTTGAGAGCAGCTTCAGACAAATCACATGTTATTACAACAGATACAATTCGACGTACGTTGGTAATGCTCAGTAATAAACATGACCACCAACAAACGCCGTTAAGGGTGTGCATTTTTTTTAAGTGTTCGGTTTGTTGAACAAGACCTTCTAACAAGATCTCACGGCGTCAATTTCACTCTGAATCTGTATGGAAATTTACCAGCAAGAAGCTGGCTAAGGCAAGTGTCTGTTGGTAACCTGGTCGATTGGTTGATCGTCAATTGCTATTAAGGGATTTTGGGCCTTGTGGGATAATATTTATGATTCGTGTTGTTATAATCGGCAAACAATGCTCAGAGAACATGAGAATCAAAAACAAATGCTAAATTGCCATTAACAGCATCTCTTTGGATCACTTCCCGACACCAACACCTGTAGCAGAGCTCTTAATTAATCAATTAAAATAATTTATATCTACGAGCACGCAAACAGCACTCACTGCCTTGCCCCGGGACAGACCGACATTCTTTTGTAGCGCCTGTAATCAGAATATGGGATCTTAAGAAGGGATTAAGACGGTAGGGAGACAAAGCGAGCCTTGTTACACTCTTATATCGCAATACCCAATTAGAAGCCGTCTGCGATGTGAGTACATTAAAAGTAAGAACGACACATGTGTGTTTCGAATATTCGAATAATTAAAAGTAGGAAAGACACATGTGTGTTTCGAATATTCGAATCTTTCTGAGGGGAAAACGTTTTCTTCTGAAGATGATCTGTTTTGATCTAAGATAGTGGTTTGACCTTTTACGAAACGTAATGGCTAATTTTATAGGAAAAAGTGTGACGAAATTTTATGAATGGCTTATTTGTGTGTGTCTGAAAGGTGAAACCAATTCTTACACAAGAATCTTGCAATCTGAAGGAAGATGGAGCATCAGTGGGCTTCATATATCTCAAATAAGGAGATCATTGATTGGCATGGGAACGGTGACGTATTATCCGGGCACAGGACAGAGACATCTACAAAGCGATGAACTTAGCAGCATTTAATATTCACTGAATGCGTTTAACTCTTTGAAGCAGAGGTGTGGAAAATTAAGTGCTATGTGTGCCACTCTTGCAGTATCTAGAGATTATTCTACTGCATTTAAAACGCTTTACTGATCGTCAAATTAAGACCATGCGTTCTTATAATTAGGGCAGTGAACTGCCACCTTTTTTTATCACAGAGGGGCCGAAACCGACCCAGCATATAATAGTGCACCGTACCCTATCACGCAATGAAGCATATCCTGGTTAATTATTAAACCTTGGCGACTAATTAATTGAATGATACGTTAAATTAAGTAATTCGTTACTAAA